GAGAGGTTTGTAGGTATCTGGGTCATTAAGTAGATTGAGCATTTTGTTCCTGTAATCATCAGTGTTCATGATAACAACACCACCTCCTTTATCAGCGGTGGTGACCCTGATGGTCGTGTCTTCTGCTAAACCTTTGAGTGCAAGCAGGTCTGACGACACAAGGAATGCCTGCGTACAACACCGTAATTCACACAACCACTTGATAAACTACAGAAACTCAAGACTTATCGCCACAGAAGACAACACTCAATATCGAAGAATCCTGGAATCATCACTTATTTCTATATCCGACAACTTCAACCAGAATAGTGGCTTCTATAACATAGCTGAACCACTTGCCAAGAAACTTCTTCATCGCTATCCCACATAAGAACACTGTAGAAGGTCTGCTCACAAACTTGTCCAGTCTCCTTTCCAAGCTACCCAAGTTTTTAGACTCTACAACCCAACTCGGTACATCATCAGATGCAGCATTCTTCACCTGACCTCAGCCGGACTATAAATACTCGCGTTCCTTCCACCCCAGGTAGTTCTGTTTGTGACTTGAAAAAGCCCACTGTGTGGGCGAAACGTAGTCAATAAAGGATCACATTATACTGCATTTGTGTTTATATTGCCATTGTGTCGGTATTTTATACCATTTATTTCCAAACTGTGGCCCTCCTTTAAATTTGGCTTATGAAACTGGCCGCTTTCCTACTAAAAGGTTGGGGACTACAGCTCTACACCATGTGTGAAATGGAAAATACGAGTTGACTAAAAAAATTAATACGACTAATGATTTTTTTTTTTCCTGAGGAAGGGTAGGAGCCCCCAACCTTCTCAGTCTGTTTCGAGGGTTTTAGGTATGCTTCAGTTATTGGAATGACCTAAACCATGACTAAGCATTCTTGGTTATATTAGTCATGACAGGAAAAAGCTTTAATTTTTTGTGTGATGATGGATTAAAAATGGAGGGCAAACATATAGGAGAGACTTCAAGACATGATGAATGAGCAGAGGAAGGGTTGCTTTAGTTCCTGGAATGCCTACAGTGTTTATTTTTATGATTGGAATTTGTTGAATTTTGTGTAAAATTGGCTAAATTTTCAACTTCTGTGCACTTTATAGGGTAGTTTTGAAAGTTGAATGAGCAGTTTCTTTGTGCTCATTTGATAGAGAGTAAGGCATATTAGCAAAAGAGCCAAGAATTTGGTTGATTTGAGCAATGGAATTGACTTGAAATATGCCTCAAAGCAGACACAAAGACAAAATTTGCTGTGTAAATTGCACCCAGAGTGCTAACATTGTGCCCGAGTTATTCCATAAGTTTTCCATCCAATTTCCCATTTTTGATGTCTTAACCTTCAGAAAAAGATTCTCACCCATTTTAGAAGATAATTTTTTCTTGAAAAATTGCTAAACTAATAGCACTTTTTAACTTTGGGGTCGCAGCAGTGAAAGAGTTAAGTAAGATATGTTTGAAAAGACAGTGTAGAAATACCTAATCTGGAGTATTATGAAGCTGAGTAAGAGAAAAAGAGTAGAAAGTTAGAAATTAGGTCAGGTTAAACTAACAGCTTGCATGGAGGAAACAGTGCAGAATATACATAGGTATGTTGGACTGGTGTTTTGAAGGATTGAAGTTGTCCTTCCTTCTATTAACCCTTTGACTGTTTTGGTCATATATATACGTCTTACAAGCCAGTGTTTCGGACGTATATATACTCAAAAATTCTAACGGCTTCAAATCAAGCAGGAGAAAGCGGGTAGGTCCATATGTGAGAGAATGGGTCTGTGTGGTCAGTGTGCACTGTATAACAAAAATCCTGCAGCACTCATGAGAAAAAAACTCCGACCGTGTTTTTGGATTAAAACGCCGCCTTTGAGGTGTATTTTCATATAGTATTTATGGTTGTATTCTCATTTTGTTGGTCTCATTTGATAGAATGGAAAACATATTACAGAAATAGGGATGATTTTGATTAGTTTCACGATGAAAACGAACTTAAAATTGAGCTCAAAGTAGCAGAAATGTTTGATTTTACCAATGTTCAAGAGTAAGCAAATCACACCACACTTCCAATACACGTCAACTGGGGAGTCTAATATTCTTTCACTAGTGCACTGATATTATTTATACCATTTTTACAATAATGCAGTAGTCTGCATAACAGTAAATCTTCTATTTTTTGTGTGAATAAAAAATCAAAATAGAAAGCAAGGGTAATATAAGAGGGGCCTGGAGACGTGACTAATGAACAGAGGATGTGTTATTTTAGTGCCAAGAATGTCTGCATTGTTTATTCTGGACCCTATTTTGAAATTGGCATCTTTTTTAATTTGCATGAAACTGGCCAAATTGCCAATTTCTGACCACTTTATTGGGTAGTTGAAATCAGTAAATGGGAGGTTTTTTGTACTCAGTTGGTAGAAAAAATGGAGTTCTAAAGAAATGGCTATGAGTTTGGTCGACTGGAACAATGGAATTGGCTGATAATAGGGCTCAAAGTCGGCGAAATCACCGATGCGTGTATATCTCCGAGATTGCTAACTTACGAGAAGGGGTTACTAACCCCTTCTCCCAGCATTTTAGCTGCCTATGATATGCATGGCTTATGGAAGAAGGATTCTTCTCCATGTCCCCATGTAAATGTAAATGTTTTGTAATTAATTTTCATTGTAAAATGGGGGAAATTGGCTCACCAGTAGGAGGGTTTTTACAAGATTTATCTGACAACCCTGATGGAAATTATTGTGCCACCACATGCTTCTAACAACACATTATACTTGAGATGAGTGTACACTGGTACCTTGAGTTATGAACTTAATTCGTTCCAGAAGGCTGTTTGAGTGCCAATACCGACTAATCTAATTTACATTATTCCCATAAGGAATAATGTAAATTAGATTAGTCTGTTTCAGACCCCCAAAAATACACTTACAAAAGCACTTACAAAAATACACTTACATAATTGAGTTGGGAGCTGTTTGAAACTCGAGGTACCACTGTACTTTCACACTGGCAGGACATCTTCCCTCAACAACAAGCAGTATGATCCCCCAGAGTCCCTAAATGTAGTGACTGTCATTGGAATACTGTGTCTCATTAATTGTAAACTAAGTTTTAAGAATTTAATGGCGAGTGATATATTATGAGAAGACTTAAGAAATGGCACCCATTGCAGACAAGGATGTTTAAAAGGAAATATTGTGTAAATAGCATGTGAGATGGGCATGATAGGCATGTAATAAAAAGAACAAGCTGGCTGTTGATAGATTAAGTTCAAACAGGGGATCAATGTGGTAGATATTAATAGCACATTTAAGGAATAGGTAGTATGTTATTAATGGCAGTAGGGAGCTTTCATGAGAATGAGGCTCAAGTTAGGATATGTAGGGAAAAAGTGACCATTTTCCAGTAAAAGTAGGCCTTGGGTAGGGTTGTGTGATATCACCATGGTTATTTAATATATATAGATGGGGTAGTGAAAGAAGTAAATGTGAAGGTGTTTGGAAGAAGCGTGGGAATTTGCTAATGACAACAATTCTCTTGTAAAATTCTGAAGAGAAGTTGCAAAATTTGGTGGATAAGTTTAGGTGAATGTGTAAAGGAAGGGAATTAAATTAGGAAAGGGTAAAGTAATGAGAGTAACAATATTTAGGTGATGAAAAATTGGATACCAGATGGGGAGGAGAGAGTATGTGTGCATGAAAAGGTGAATCTTAAACTAGGTAGGTGGTTTGATGAGGAATCTGTGGAAAGATGTTTAGCTATGGAGACAGAAAGGGATTGTACCAGAGTATAGCAGTATTAACACTTTTATATGGATGTGAGACATAGGTTTCAAACACTGCAGTGCAGTGGAGGCTGGAGGCAGTGATGATGTCATGTTGGAATGCAGTGTGTGGTGTGAATATTGTGCAGAGAATTTAGAGCAAAGAAATTATGACATGTGGTATTATGAAATGTGTAATTTGGAGGGTGGAGTTGTTGTAATGGTTTGAATATTTAGGAGAATGGAGCACACTAAGATGACCAAAAGGGTGTATAAATTCAGGGTGCAAGGAAAGAGGGGTGGTCATCCCAGAAAAGGTTGAAGGAAGTGTGTGAAAGAGGTTTTTAATCCAATCTAACAGATGTGTTAGATTGGATTAGAGACTAGTGGTTTTTAGGCCTTGAAGTGCTGTCTAAGTTTGAGCAAGTAATGTTTATGGAGGGATTCATGGAAACCAGCTAGCAGGACGTGAGTCATAGAGGTAGGAAGAATGATGCCTGAACATGACTCAGGAAATCGAAATGACACGATTACAAACAAACCATACCATGGGCGGGGATAGAACCCGCGATCAGAGATTTCATGAGTCATGTTAACGGCTTTGAGGGGACTTGAGCTAGAGTTTGTCACGGCCACGCTAGCTGGAGATTCGTCTGTAAAAACTTGCATTTGTGGTCACAGTGGTGCCTATGCTAACCTTCCTATGGTGTAGAAATATACCTAGTTGGATGAATCATATTGTGGCTAGTTGGTCTAGTGGCTAACACGACGGTCTGGAGTTTTGAGACTCTCTGATCGTGGGTTCTATCCCCACCTGTGGTATGGTTTGATGCCTGAACCCTGGAAGAGGGGTGAGAATGTTGCATTTCATAGGATTATGTGAATTGTGATGTCTGTGCAGCTAATGAATGAATGATGGTGAATATTAACTTTTTTTTTTTTTCCACTCTACCTTGGTGGGAGATAGCCTGTAAGGTTAAAAAAATAAAGAGTGCTAGTTGAGAAATGAATGTTATATTTAACTTAAGTATGGTTTTAAGTGTGAGTGTTAATCTTTAGTAGGGCTGATTATTCATGTGGAAGACTTACCAAGATGTATTTAACACTATTTTACTGGAAATAATGCAATATAATTCCATTAGTAATAAATTAGAGCAATAATATACACTGTACTCAAATGCCTGAAGAAAGCTATTCTTACACTTGGGTTAATACTTTTTCCTTATACTGCTACCTAAACAGAACACATTCAGAGGAATACGGTCTTCCAAATTTCGCCATGTTTATGGAAAAGGCACCAGGAAGGAGAGCTGCTACGAGAATGTCCTCATCACACAGAAGGCCCATGATACAGCAGCTTGTGCTGCCAACCCAAAATTTGTTGCCATTGCAGTGGAGGTTGCTGGTGGTGGGGCCTTCATTGTGCTCCCCTTGGACAAGGTTAGGTTTGCTATTTTAACCAATCCTCAGAAAATATACTGTACATATTGAGAATTATTCTAAATAAAATTAGAATTGGAAAGTCGCTTTCTATGCTGCAAGATTTGTTTACTGTCAAATGTTTGAGGATTTCTTTTATGAATTAGCTTAATGATTGCTGTGATGAACTACTGTGTAATCCATTTACAATGTAATTACATATAATGGAAGATTTTATTAATAAGTTTATCTTTGTGCATTATTACCATTGTTTTTTAAAGATTTCTTGCATTGTTGGAAAGTTTTCATGATGCTGAATTGCAATATTTCTTGCCAGGGGTTCGTTAAATTATGCAATACTTTATTCCTGACAGACGGGTCGTATTGACGTGAATACTCCGAAAGTGACTGGCCATGCTGGACCAGTTTTAGATCTCAAGTGGTGCCCCTTCAATGATAACCTTATAGCTTCGGGTGCTGATGACTGCACCATAAAGTTATGGCATATTCCTGATGGGGGACTGAAGGTTAACCTTACTGAACCATTGGCTGATCTACAGGGCCACCAGAGACGTGTGTCTATAGTGGAATGGCATCCAACAGCGGAAAATGTATTGTTTTCAGGTGGCTATGATTACCAGGTAGGTAGCTAATATAAGTTATTAATTTTTTCAGCAGATTTTAAATTTCTGACTTTAAGATATTAAATTTGTTTTTTCTTTAAATGCAGTACATTTGTTTGTGGTTCATTACAGATTCTTGTTTGGGACACTAGACGAGCTGCTCTTATGCAAACGATTGACCTTCACTCAGATGTAATTTATAGTCTCTCCTTAAACCGTGATGGGTCACGACTGGCCACTACTAGCAGAGATAAACGTCTGCGAATTATTGACCCTCGTTCTGGCAAGCTTTTGCAGGTGAGAAAATTATCTTTTCATTCTTCTCTTTTTGGATTCCCTCTGTCATCAGTGACGTGGTTTTTGGTGATTTAACCCGTAAACGGTCCAAACATACATATACGTTCACTACCCCAGTGCCCCGAATAATTTGAAAAATAAAAAAATCTTTTTATTTTTAATGAAAATAAAGAGCACATTCTTCTAAGTGTTATAGGATAAGAAAAAAAATCAGGGTCAGTACTTACAGAGATATGAGGCCAAGAAGTTGACACTGGATGCTCACGTGACAGCAACATCAAGTCCTGCTGCTTGCAGAAATGTTGCCGATATACCTTTTCTTCCATTTTTTATATTATTTTATATAATTTTTATGTTCTGATAATTACAATTTATAGTGGTTCTTGTCATTTCATAACCAATCTTTGTTCTGACACTAGTATTAGGTACTGAAATTGTACTCAAATTGTCACAAACACACTGACAGGTGGACATTTACACCTGCCTTGGCCATTTACTATTGTCTTGGAATACAGTGGACCCCCGGTTAACGATATTTTTTCACTCCAGAAGTATGTTCAGGTGCCAGTACTGACCGAATTTGTTCCCATAAGGAATATTGTGAAGTAGATTAGTCCATTTCAGACCCCCAAACATACACGTACAAACGCACTTACATAAATACACTTACATAATTGGTCGCATTCGGAGGTGATCGTTATGCGGGGTCCACTGTATAGACAAAGTATTTATAGGTCCCAGCAATATTTTGGATGTGTGGAAGTATATAATAATAAAATAATAATAATAATAATCATATAGTCGGACTTGAGTCCTGGAAATGGGAAGTACAGTGCCTGCACTTTAAAGGAGGGGTTTGGGATATTGACAGTTTGGAGGGATATGTTGTGTATCTTTATACGTATATGCTTCTAAGCTGTTGTATTCTGAGCACCTCTGCAAAAACAGTGATAATGTGTGAGTGTGGTGAAAGTGTTGAATGATGATGAAAGTATTTTCTTTTTGGGGATTTTCTTTCTTTTTTGGGTCACCCTGCCTCGGTGGGAGACGGCCGACTTGTTGAAAAAAAAAAATAACAATAATAATACATAATAATAAGTTCCCTTGAAGCATGAAAAACAAGCCTCAGTCGACCCCTGACAGTGACATGATAAGATGAGATAACATTAGATAAGAGCTGACATTTGATGAGCATACACGAGGGTGCGATGATAAGACTTGATAAGAAAAGATTAGGGTGACATTTGATGAGCATTGCCCTGTGTACCTGTTAGACAGAGATAGACAAAGACAGAGAGAGACAAAGACAAAGACAGAGACACAGAAATAGAGACAGAGATAGACAAACGAACGGAGCCAGGCCACCAGCAGCTGGCCAGCCATGCAGCTAGCCAGCCAGCCAGCCAGCCAACTAGCCAATCAGCCAGTCAGCCTGCTGAACAAGTATTAACATTCCAGAATTGTTTCTCTTTACTTAGGGCATAGGTTATAAGACATTCTGAAAGGGTGTTGCACATGGGTTATTACCGAGGTTTTTTGATATTTAGTCAAACACTTATGGCCACATCCACCTCAAAGTCACTAAACTCGGGGTCAACATAACTTTCCTCTTAAAATGGTAGTGTTAATACTACATGAAATTAGTGAATCCCAGGTGTTTACCACAATGTTTGCTCTAGCTGGCGCTCATTTAAACTGGTGCTCCCACAAGGTACTAAGTGGTCCCAGATTTTTTAATACAGTGCACACTGAGTGTTATGACCCATTCTGTGCAGACAAGGCATCTCAGGCCAGTCGTGCCATATTTGAAGGCAGGAAAAGTAAAACGTTTTTATACGTTTGGGGCACTAGGGGTAAGAACATATATATATATATATGTTTGGACTGTTTATGGGTTAATAATCTCCAGTTTAGCACAATACAGTACTGTATATAGTTTTAACAAGTTTTAAAATAACCACAGGTGTTAATTTAGCATCCAGAAGAAATTATTTCTAAGATTTACAATATTCCCAGAGGAACCTTATGTTGTTTCTGGCTGTCCTGGACCACTGGCAAGTCACAACTGAGGTGAGAAATGAGGGGAGGCCAGAAAACAGGTTGGATGAGGGAAAGGGGGTGGGGAGATAGGTTCTACTGCTGCTGTTGTAGTGGTGGCATCATCATTGTTGTTTTTGTGTGAGTTGTAGAATTAGCAACAGTGGTTGTAGTGCCACTACAACTTCTACTACTACATACTTCCTTCTTCCTTTCCCCTTCCTGATCTGTCTTCTGGCCTCATTTATGACTGACAGTGGTCCTGCACAGACCAAAATGTTGTCCAAAGTTCATCTAAGTGCTGGTTATTTGTGAATCATTTCGGCTGTAGAACTGTGTATTTTTATTCATTAAAAAACAAATATTATCTACAACTGTCTTTGATAAGTAATTGCGAAGTAAAGCATTACTAGAGGATACTACTAGCAGTGGCACATTTCTTATATGTTAACTACATACAGCTGGGTGATATGGAGTAATAGGAGAGATTGAGGGAGGTAATTAGAGAGAGTAAAGTAAAGGCAATGTCCCATGATTACAGTGCATTATGAATTTCATAATCTATCTCCAAAAGTAATAGGAAGTAGGTATGGAATATTATTGTCCTGTAATTTGTTTAGTGTATTTTTATGCTTAGCAAATCCTCTGCCTGGCCCCTATCCAGAATGCTAAGAAGAGTTGAATGTTCAAATACATGTAATACAGGTTACAATATTTCTTAATTAAAATTTTAGTGTTTCACAGTTACACTTAATATAGCTGCTTTATTTCATTCCATTTTTAATTTAATCATATCATGGCATTATTATTATAAAAATATAAATTATAAATTTTTTATAATTATTTAAGGTAGGGATGTGCCAAAGTATTAGTATCAGCGAGTGTCTGCTTATTTTAACTGTTAACTGTCCAAAGGTAGATATACGTTTTCACTACCAGCGCTCTGAATGTTTTGATTTTTTTTTAATTAACCCTTTCACTTTTGAGACCCTCTACTCACGAACTTGCTCTCAATGTTGAGGAATTTAAAAAAAAAAAAAATTTTTTCTTATGAAGTGATAGAGAATCTTTTCCCGATGGTAATGACACCAAAAGTACAAAATTTGATGGAAAACTTACTGAATTACGCTCTTGCAGATTTAGCGGTCTCAGCAATATATATGCTTCGGCAATTTCGCCCATTTTGAGCCCTAGTTTTGGTGATTTCCATTGTTCCAGTCTACCAAACTCATAGCTATTTCACTAGAACTCCATTTGTTCCATCAGTTGATTACAAGAAATCACCCATTTACTGATTTCAACTACCCAATAAAGTGGTCAGAAATTGGCAGTTGGGCCAATTTCACACAAATATCAAGAGATGCCAATTTCAAAATAGGCTCCAGAATAAACAGTGCAGACATTCTTGTTCATTAGTCATGTCTCCAGGCCCCTCTTATATTACTCTTGCTTTCCATTTTGAATTTTTATTAACACAAAAAAATAGAAGATTTACTGTTATGCAGACTACTACATTATTGTAATAATTGTATAAATAATGTCAAACCATTTGTGACTGCGTATTAGACTGGAGAGTTAGACATGTATTGGACAGTGACGTCATTTGTTTACTCAAATTCAAATTCAAATATTTATTTCTTTGCAAAGATTACAACGTGTGACTGTCATGCTATAAGTAGTCTATTTCCCTGCCTAATTTACAATGTGTGAAGAGAGTGGTGAGAGAGTGCAAAAGGAGAGCAGATGATAGAGTGGGAGAGGAACTGTCAAGAAATTTTAATGAAAATAAGAAAAAATTTTGGAGTTAAACAAGTTAAGAAAGCCTAGGGAACAAATGAATTTGTCAGTTAAAAACAGAGTAGGGGAGTTAGTAGATGGGGAGATGGAGGTTTTGGGTAGATGGCGAGAATATTTTGAGGAACTTTTAAATGTCGACAAAGAAAGGGAGGCGGTAATTTCATGCACTGGACAGGGAGGTATACCATCTTTTAGGAGTGAAGAACAGGATGTGAGTGTGGGGGAGGTGCGTGAGGCATTACGTAGAATGAAAGGGGGTAAAGCAGCTGGAACTGATATGATCATGACAGAAATGTTAAAAGCAGGGGGGATATAGTGTTGGAGCGGTTGGTATTTTTGTTTAATAAATGTATGAAAGAGGGGAAGGTACCTAGAGATTGGCAGAGAGCATGTATAGTCCCTTTATATAAAGGGAAGGGGGAGTGTGAGCAAAGTAACATTTATGAAGGGATTCAGGGAAACCGGCAGGCCGGACTTGAGTCCTGGAGATGGGAAGTACAGTGCCTGCACTCTGAAGGAGGGGTGTTAATGTTGCAGTTTAAAAACTGTAGTGTAAAGCACCCTTCTGGCAAGACAGTGATGGAATGAATGATGGTGAAAGTTTTTCTTTTTCAGGCCACCCTGCCCTGGTGGGAATTGGCCAGTGTGTTAATAAAAAAAATAATAAGGGGGACAAAAGAGATTGTAATAATTATAGAGGAATAAGTTTACTGAGTATACCAGGAAAAGTGTACGGTAGGGTTATAATTGAAAGAATAGAGGTAAGACAGAATGTAGGATTGCGGATGAGCAAGGAGGTTTTAGAGTGGGTAGGGGATTTGTAGATCAAGTGTTTACATTGAAGCATATATGTGAACAGTATTTAGATAAAGGTAGGGAAGTTTTTATTGCATTTATGGATTTAGAAAAGGCATAAGATTGAGTGGATAGGGGAGCAATGTGGCAGATGTTGCAAGTATATGGAATAGGTGGTAAGTTACTAAATGCTGTAAAGAGTTTTTATGAAGATAGTGAGGCTCAGGTTAGGGTGTGTAGAAGAGAGGGAGACTACTTCCCAGTTAAAGTAGGTCTCAGACAGGGATGTGTAATGTCACCATGGTTGTTTAATATATTTATAGATGGGGTTGTAAAAGAAGTAAATGCTAGGGTGTTCGGTAGAGGGGTGG